ACAAGATCAACCCTCAGCCGCCAAGACACCATCTCTGGCTGAGGAGCAGCTGACAGCTGATGGCTTCTAGTGGAGGGGAGAGGTTCCTTTCTTTGGAGTGTGGGCCTTGGTAGATTGACTGTTCTCCAGTGGATGGGCCCCGCACTTACGTGTATACGGTCAGTATACTCAGCACAAATTGAACTTGATATATATATATATTTTACACAGATGATATTACATATGGGTATTCATATGTATATATATGTATAGGGTATGAAATCAAGAAGGGGTAGGGTAGAAGGAGTTAGGCTGAGGTGTGTGGGATAATTATGATAAAGATATTTTGTTGGTATATGTGAAATTCTCAAAGAATTAATAAAATATTAAATAATAAAATATTAAAACAACAGCAAAAAACACAGTGTGGTGGCACATGCTTGCAATCCTACTTTAAGAGTATGGAGGCAGGAGGATCTTTGGGGGTAGCTGTCCAGCCACATTAGCCTGCTTGGCCAGTTCTAGGTCACTGCCCTCTCCCACCCCCCACAATCTACCTGCCAAAAACAAGTGGGTAATGAGCACTGTCTGCAGCTGTCTTTGGCTTCTGTGTACATGTGCACATGAACACACAAGGGCACCTGCACACACAAACACATGTATACTCACTGTCTGCAGCTGTCTTTGACTTCTGTGTACATGTGCACATGAACTCACACACACAAGGGCACCTGCACACACACAAACGCATATATACTAAAAGAATAATTTGAAAAGAATCTGACCTGATGGAATTATTTTAGTTAATGCTATAAACAAACAATGAAACACACACACAGGCAGATATACCAGTAATGTCTATCTTAGGAGGCTTAGGTAACAGAATACTGATTCATGCTAAAGACATTAGATGAACTCTAAGTATCCACTTCTGGATAGTATACTTTATAATAATTACTAGAGAGGAAAAGTGTGTGTGTGTGGGGGGAGGAAATCACAGACTTGCTTCCAAGGTACCTCACAATTATGTGATTAGATTTCTCCTAAAGCAAGATAGGAACACACCAACTCCCTTAGAATTTCTCCATTAAGAAATGTGTTAATCTGAAAATAGGTCAACACTGGTCTTGTTAAGGAAAATAAACAAACAAACCAAACTTTCTTCTCAATGGTCTTCCTTTTACAGGGTCTTTATATGTAGGTAAGGTTAGAATAATAACTTTTCTTCAAGTTGCCATACAAATAAAGTTTATAAAGAGTATTTGTCTCTTAATCTTCCTAAGTGACCAGAAAGAATGTGGTGATTCTGACCAATTACTCTCATAAAGGCACACCATTAAGTTTCTTCTATGTTAGAAATAAACTTCTGGCATAAAGAATTTTGTTATTTTAAAATACTATTTATGTTGAGTGTTTGAGTTATACTACCTATACTTCAAGTATGAAAAAAAAAACCTATGAAATTCCTAGAAAGAAATAATACTTTTCTTAAAAGTCAAAACAAGACAGATTCTCTTTTTTTCCTCTACCCACAACATTTAGACAAATTCCTTGTTCTTTCATTTCAAGTGAAAGAATAAAGTGCTATTTTTGCATATTTCCATATTTGCATATGCAAAAAATCAAATATTCACATTTGTATATTCCCACAGTGTCATACCTATGGGACATTATCGATAGGACACTTTATGACATTCTCCCTGGGCTGGGCTGTATTAACTTAAGCAACAAATGTGAAGATGTAAAACAAGAGAGGACTGGGAGTGGCCCTTTCCTGTTTGAAAGGCTTCGGTAATGACAGTGTAACAGAATGACATCTGGGTTAAAATTCCAAGCCCACCATTTAATCAAGCTGGAAACGTTCAGACAGTTATTTAATGTCTCCCATTTTCAATTTATTCATGTGTAAAGTAGGGATACCAATGTTTCTTTGAGTTGTTTAGGGGATCACAGACTGCCATACATTTGTCACAGGTACCTGGTGCACAATACGAGTTTAATTAAAAGTGTATTTTGTTTTTATTAGTTTCTCTGATTTGCTTTCTTCTCAAATGACATGATTTTAAATTTTAAAAATCTGTTACTTATAAACATAAATTAGTAATGGTTTTGCTTTAGGCTTTTATTGATTATAAATTTGTCTAGTAAAGTAGACTTCAATATTCGTAGGTGACCAACAAAAAATTTAAAATAATTATAGAGGCAGAAACACTGCAACATTGTACTTAAAGGAACAAGGTTAGTAGCAGCAGTTGGAGGTGGAGGCATGAGGGAAGGGCACACAGCACTCTCCAGCAGCCTTACAGAAAGGTTTATGTGACGGGGAACTATCATCTCTTGCAAGGAACTACAGAAGTGACTTATTTTGGCCCAGGTCAAACCCTCAGATGACAGCATCCTTGGGTAGAAGTCTGGGCTGCAAGTTTATGGGAAAGTACAAGCTCAGCCCTGACCAGTCAGTTAAACTGCTTCTCAATCCCTGACTTTCAGAAACAGTGAGGTAATAAGAATGCCAGCTGTGTGAGCTGTTTGGAATGATTTGCTCTCTGGCAAGAGGGCACTACTAGAGGCCACGGTGCATCTCTTCCTTTAGTGGAAAGTCTGACTAAAGCAGTGCTTCTCACTTCCCGGTGTGGCCTACCTTTACTACAGTCCCTTACATCTTGCTGACTCGTAGCCACAAAATTACTTTTGCTGCTTCATAACTATAATTTTTCTACTGTTATGAATCATAATGTTAATATTTATATACAGGGTATCTGATATATGACATCCAAAGAGGTTGCGACCATAGGTTGAGAACCACTACTTCAAAGGAAAGGTGAAAACTGCTGTCACAAGGCATGGTGGAATACAAACTTTACATATGCTTTTCCAAATTTTCATGAACAAAATTTAAAATTCATTAGGTAAAACTCTAAGGGGAAAAAACTTCTATCTTTTATTTATTTTTAAATTTTAACCTCTTCATTCTTTTCTTAACAAAAATTGACTCTTTTGAGCAGATAAATGCTTGTTCTTTCCCATTATTTAGGTTTTCTAGGATATAAATACAATTAATTATTTTAATTTGTTAAAAATGAAAACATATGCCTGGCAGTGGTGGTATATACCTTTAATCCTGGCACTTAAGAAGCAGGGGCAGGTGGATCTCTGTGATTCTAAGATCACTCTGGTCTACAGAGTAAGTTCCAGGACAGCCAGGGCTACATAGAGAAACCTTGTCTCAAAAATAATATATATATATATTATTATAACATTATAATATGTAATATTATACATATATATGTATAAATATACATATATAATATACATAGACACATATATACGTATATTATATGCATATACATACACATATATGTATGTATCTATATGTAATATCTATGTATATTATATACATATATTATATACATAGACATATATATAATAAAAATAAAATATTCTCAAAGCTATGATGTCTTTAATGGGAGAATACTAGAAAACAGAAAAATCTGGCATATAAATGTAGTTAGCACTTCTTCCATTTTTACTGACTGGTCCTCTGGGGTATTTATCCTAAAAAAAAAAAAATAGTCAATACAATCCTAAACAAAATGTGGTCTTGATTTCATCTTTTCAGTTACTTCACAGTGCAGGTTGCAATGATCATTTGGCTAGTAAGTCAGCCCATACCCGTGGGTTCTTTAGGCTTGAGTACAGCCAGGCACAGCGCATGCATGCACTCCATCTTCATCTCTCTGGTTCATCTCTGCTCTGTTTGAAAGGTTTCTTATAAACTGGCACTACACTTAGAGACTCCTTCAAAGCTTGCACTCTTTGTAATGTGTCTTTCAGTGCTTTCATCAAGGCCACTTGGAAGGGAAAATTACTCAGAATGGAATTCCCCTTTGGCTTTGGACTCAACTCCTGTGATTAAATTCACAAGGGCACATAACAAAATGATTTACCAGGCCACGTTAGGCAGCCTGGATGGCCTGTGCTTATTTTAGCAGCTAAACTGGAAACCTAATATAATCCTAACCTAGATACCATGTGCCTAAGTGTGCTAACTCTGTCTTAGGAGTCCTGTGATCTTCATTACGCATTAACTCATAAATCCATTCTCCTTCTCAAATCCATCGATTCTTATCATTTCCCATCACTTCATGCGATATGTGAAATCCCACTAAAGCAATGGTTCTCAATCTGTAGTTCCTGACCTCTTTGGGCTCACAGGGATTGCCTAAGACTACTGGAAAACAGATATTTACATTATGATTCATAACAGTAGCAAAATTACAGTTATGAAGTAGCAACAAAGTTAATTTTATGATTGGGGGTCACCACAACATAAAGAACTGTATTAAAGGGTCAAAGCATTAAGGAAGGTTGGGTACCACTGCACTAAACCACTGGTAGAAATTTAACAAATTACTTCAATATGATTTAAGTCAACTACTTTGTTGACAAAATTTTCAGCTTAAGCTAAATTTATAATCCACTTTTAGCCTAGTTGAGTGCATTCATTCACATACATACATACATACATACATACATACATACATACATACATACATGGTACCTGTATGAGTTAATTTAACAATAGGCTACTGAAACACAGAGCTTCTCAACATCCTCACGTTTTTCTATACTCTTATGAATGTTGAAGGTAAAATACCCAAAGGGACACAAAACTATGCACATAAATATACCTAGCTTGTTGGAATAACTTGAGTATACTTGCCTCTCTGCTCAGATAATGTCTTAACTAGGTATCCTCAACTGGGTATCTCAGTAGAACCATCTGTCCTTCTTTAGATGAAATCATACCCAGAAAACATACAAAGAGAGTATCCATTACTGAAATGCTTGTCTGCTATTATTAACGTTTCGCACATGCATTTATATGTGAGTCCACTCACTCTTTAGCACAAGTTCACTGTTTTCCCAGCCCTTCCTTACAGAAGACTTCCAACCATTTCATTACATCATACCAAGGGCTCCAAAGAGGAAGAAAAAAGCGTATAGCTCCTTGAACTCACAGGACTCTGCAGGATCTGAGTGACTCGCTTCCTCTGCTCCATCATATTGAAGTCCTGTCGCAGATCAGGAGACATGTTCCTCTCTCGAAGGTATTCCGGATCACTTTCATTGATTCGGTCAAAATACCTCTCTTTGTGAGGCATGGTGGGAGGAGGAGGAGTGGTGATCACAGCTGGGCTGGTGTCTGAACTCATATTTCAAGTCTTCCTCTCTACAGAATAAACACACAGACAGGAGGACACTTACTACAATGCCTGGGTAAATTCACTTTACAGGAACCAAGTAGAACTTTTAAACTCTTGGAAACAAACTTTCTTTTAAAAGCAGCTTCAGGGGCTGGAGAGATGGTTCACTGGTTAAGAACACTGGCTGCTCTTCTAGAGAAGCTGGGTTCAATTCCTAGAACCCACATGGAAGCTAAGAACTGTCTGTTACTTCAGTCCCAGAGGATCTAACACCCTCTTCTGGCCTCTGCACCAGGCACAGATGTGGTGCATACATGCAGACAAAACACTCATATACATAAAATTAAAGTAAAATCTAAAATATGAAGAAGAAATTAAAAAGTAGCTTCATGGAGAAAGGTTGCTTGACGGAGGCCCACCCAGTAGTTAGAGAATTACCCTAGTGCACGCATGGCCCTGGGCTTCATTCCCAGCACTTAAAAAATATAAGAAGACAGCTTCTCCAAAAATACTAGAAAAGCTTTTATGTAGGAAAACATTTCTTAGCAACCACAAAAGAAAATAAAGCTTATCTTAGATTATAATGCTAAATTAGAAATTACTATTTTCAAAGATAATGAAAATTCATGTCTAAATACTGATTTTTTTTAAAAAAAAATGATGTTACTTATTTTAAATTAATTTAGAGGACTGGAGAAATAGCTCAGTGATTAAGAACAGGCATTGTTCTTGCAGAGGTTCCCAGTACCCACATCAAACAGCTCACAAATACCTCTAACAAAAGCTCCAGGAGAACCAAAGCCCCACAAAACAGAAGTACTGGCGTATACATGCCCATACATGCATGTGTGTGTGCGTGTGTACATACATGCGTGCACACACACACACACACACACAGAGAGAGAGAAAGAGAGAGAGAGAGAGAGAGAGAAATACACATAATTAAAAACAAAAATAAACATTTAAAAATAAAACTAATTTAACTTAAAATACACTCTAAGGCCAACTCATTTGGATTTGAGGAGGAAAACATAAATTTTTAAAATTTGATCAAAACCCTGGTAAAATTCAGGTGAAAAAAAAAAAGCCAGTGTCACATAGTTGAGACATCTTCTTTCTCCTATTTTGATTTTAAGCCTATATATGTGCATCTTAATTTGCTCTACTGTCTCCCCAGGGAGACTGTCTTACGCTGCACCTGGAGGCTAAGAGCAGGGGAGTTGACAGGTCTTCATAACAGGAAAAGGAAACAGCTAAGCATCCTACTCCATCACCTACACTTCCGTGTGGTACAGGACCAACCATGGGAAAAGATGCTGTCTGTCCTGTGTCATCTGTGGGACCTTCCAAGCTGACCGATATTTAGCAACTTAAAGGGTAACAGATTGGCCTGCCTTTCCTCTTCAGCTTCCTCCTCTTCCTCTTGTTATTGCTGTGCTTGTTTTCTTGGTCAAACTTAGTTTTTAAAGGAAGCAATGATCAAAACATCCCAGAGTAAAGCACTGTGTACTGACAGTGAGGTGCATGAGCGCCCCCCCCAACATGCTTTATGTCAGACCAAACTTCTGCCCCATTCAAGGATCTTTCCATTCCTTAGCAGGTATAATTTCCTGGTGTATGAAAGACACAGGACTAGGTTTTTCAAATGATTCAATAACTTCCCAAGAGAATGTCAGAATTGTGACAGTTGCGAGACTAACTCCATCACTCAGGCAGACGGCACTTCATCTCCACAGAAGTCAAGAAGACTCCACCTGCCTCAGAAGTTACATGAACAACTGACTCACTGATCTTGATCGTTACTGATACTGAGGATAACACGTAACTGGGCACATGACTATGTTTAAACACTAGGAACGATCTATCACCATCTCAGAAACAAGAAGACTCACTGTGTTTCAGCTTGTGCTCACTGGCCTGTGGCTAACCATCAGGAAGCAATTGTCTATTCTTGACAATGCTGACTGAATTAGAATTCCCTATGTCAAGGATGCTGTTGCCTTTTATCACTGAAAGGCACTTACTGTGTGTAATATCAAAGAGTATATAACACTACAAAAAAAAGCTAATTGCAGTGGTTGCCTGGTGTATAATTCATTTACATAAAATTCCTCAAATGGCGACATTGTTGAAGTGGAGAACAGAGCAGGGATTGACCTGTGAGAGAGGGCAGTATGCTCAGGACTGAGATAGGATCCAACATATACATTAAGTGAACATGAGCAAAACGAGACAAACCTGAGGGTCAGTGTCAAGCCTGCTACTGAGTGGGTGCTGCGGCCCAGCTTTAGGGAAGTGCCTTAGCTGAGAATGGCATACATACATACGATGTTCTCCCACCAAGTCCATGCCATTCTCTCCTTTCCAGTACCTTCCCTATCACTCCTTCCTCTCCATCACTTCCTCCCAATTTCATTTTTTTTTTAAAGCCCATGGAATCTACTTCATGATGCCAGTGTTTGCATGTGTTTAGGGCCATCTATTGGAACAAGAGTTCCCTCTCACAGACCACATCCCTGTAGAAAACTGATTCTCTTCCTCTCAGCAGCTAGGATAGAGACTTAGTGACTACCTCCTCCCCATCCATGGTAGGGGTGGAAGTGGCTTGATCTTACCCATGCGAGCTCATATGTGCCCAGAAAACATTGCTTCATCCTCTGCTTCTGGCTCTTAAATTCTTCCTCCCCTCTTGAGCAATGACCCCAAAGGCCCAGGAGGGCTATGTGCTATAGTGCACCACTGAGGGCTGAGCACTCTACAGTGTCTTATCCCTCAACCAGTTGTGGGGTTCAGTACCAAGTGCCATCATCTACTACAAAACTTAGCTTCTGTGATGAGGGGTGTAAGATGTACTATTCCATGGGAATAAAGACACAAATGTATTATTTCTATATCCATTGAACAGAAAAATAGCAATAGGTTCTCCTTTAGCACACATGACCAACCCAGCCATGGTTTCTTAACCCTGTCTGTGGGGCCAGGCATGAGTTCATGAGATAAGGGTTTTAAATGCATTCAGAAAGTGGCCAGTATTTCCATAATAGATGTGTTGACAGGTAAGACATTACTGTACCTCTCAAGGCTCACATCTGGGTATGCCTTTCCTCCTCTGGTAGCATGCATATAGCATCTTCTAGCACCAAGAAAGCTAGCTGGTAGGGATGACACTTCCAAGTTGGTACCAGTCTAATTTCTCCAAATTCTATGACTCAAATATGTTATGTTTTCAGTAATAGGGTCTTACCATAAAGTTTTATAGGGTAACCAAGGCAACAGTCCCTAATGTTTTTAGAGTCTATTGAACCAATGACTCAAAGAGATGTAACCCATTCCTAGCACCGGGCTAAAAATTAGCCTATAGCGCCTGGGAGAGGCACTTCCTTCTACCCACTATTATAGGGTACTTCCCATTATAAGTTAATTATATATGTAGATGTATATGTTTTTAGGAAGCTTCTACAGTAGTAGATATGTCTTTTTCCATATGCTGTTTTCAAAGATCTTTAGTGTTCTCTCTCTAGACTCCCTCTTTCCCCTGTCTTTCCATCCCCTAGCCCATTTACGTTTTGTAAGATGTTACTAATAGGGGAAACTATACGAAGGGTACACAACAACTCTGTTGGTTCTTATAATTGCAAGTGTAGCTATAATTGTCTGAATTTTTAATTTTAAAGTTTAATCTTAATAAAATTAATATTCTGTAAGAGTAGAGAAAAATTAATAATTCCCATTTCCAGTGATGTAAGTTTATGACCAACTCTGCAGACGGTAAAGTTTATACTATCCCTATCTTCAGACATTTTTCGTACCAGAAAGCATTTTGAAACTGTTTAACCAATATAACTAAATTGCACCTGAATAAAAACACATGGATTATAATACCTGGAATATAGTACCACAAATACTTCTCATGGTGATTCAAAGAGTTATGGGATGTAATATGTGGTTACAAGAGCAGCTTTCCTAAGCTTACCAAAGTTGATACGAAGCTCTCTGGGACACAAAATAAAATCAGTATTTGGAAAAATAGGCATTTAGTAGCTAGTGTTCAGATCTTAGTACCAGCCAAGCGACACATCAAGAGATGCTGCAGGGGAAATACTAACCTCAAGTGTGAGCTTGGGAGGAACTGTTCTGCAGTCAGAGCAGTTTAAATATGATGGCTCTCCATGAGACCTTTCACATAGCTAAATGTCATGGAAAGAAATGGTCTAGGAATTTCAACTGATTATTAGCCTAAAAAACTTTAAAATAAATTCTGAAAGTTTCTATGTGTTCTCTCCAATCAAAAAGCAGCCTACCTACTACAGAGTACTGGACTATAGACAAAGAGACTTTCCTGCTTGTGGCAGCCACAGGGCTGCGGAATGCACAGACTGTCTCATTTACTAATCATAATCTTAACTGTAGACATCAGGTTCACAATACAGATGAGAAAATGAAGTAAAAAAGCTACCAAGTGATTGATGGAGACTTCTGGCTAGGTCTGTTGAAGCCAGTAGCCCATGATCCTAATCAATGAGGTGGGCAGCTAGTAGGTTCTTTTCCAATGTCTGTTCACTATCAATATTGGAAAGTCTTGAGCCTCCATCCAAAACCAACCAACCAAACAAAGACTGTCTGTGGTGCTTTATATGCCTGGCCCATGAGAAGCGGCACTATTAGGAGGTGTGGCATTATTGGAAGAGGTGTGGCCTTGTTAGAGGAAGTGTGGCACTGTCGGGGTGGGCTCTAAGCTCCTATACTCAGGCTCCTCCCAGTGCTCCTCCTATGCTCTTCTCCTTCCCAGGAAAAGAGACCCTCCTCCTGGCTGCCTGCAGAAGACAGTCTCCTTGCTGTTGCCTTTGGATCAAGATGTAGAACTCTCAGCTCTTCCAGCACCATGCCTGCCTGGACACTGCTATGCTTCCTGCCTTGGCGATAATGGACTGAACCTCTGAACCTGTAAGTCAGCCCCAAGTAAATGCTTTCTTTTATAAGAGTTACCTTGGTTATGGTGTCTCTACACAGCAATAAAACCCTAACT